CTGTGTCCCAATGCCTTTGCTGTCTCAAGACGACCTCGCATTAGACACGGATACTAAGGTAATAAATATGTCTAGGCGCGCATGCATGCATTCGAAAAAAGCCAACCCACGCCCGCAGCAAGTTCTCTATATGATTAACCCAAGCATGCGACCGACTCCCGCCCTTCCGTCCGCCCCGCCTGTCCATTCATCCGTCCATCCCGGGCCAGATGCTCCATGGCTGACCCCAGCACGTTCCGTCTCTGCGCGCTGCTCCCGAGACAGGAATGCTTTTTCATCTCTAGTCAAAGGCGCTCCTCGATCCCACACGCATGCGCGCGTGCACAAGCGATACACATGTCTCAGTATCGATACCGACATGTATGTGTGTACCCGGACGACCCCGGCCGTCGCCCCAGCCAGTGGTGGGTGGTGGATGCATGCACCTCGCTCTCTTTCACTAGATGGCCCAGCTGCCCCTCCTCTCGATGACGCCCCAGCCGAGCTGGGCCGCGCCGCCATCGACGTTGAGGCTGGGGTGCTGGCGCGCCCACTCGCGGATATACAGCTTGAGTGCCCTCCACCGGGGCGGCTTGTTGGTCCTCGACTTAGTCTTCGCGCCGTTGCTGTCGTCGTCGTCGTCATCGTCGTCGTCGTCATCGTCGTCGTCGCCGGCCGAGCTCTCGCTGCTCCCGGCCTGACGACTTTCCTCGGTGCTGCTACTACTGCTACTCCCGCCGACGGCGGATGACAGGTCCTTGCCCTTCTTGAGCGTGATCTCCATCTGCAGCATGAAGCCCTTGCCGACGGCCGCGTTGTCGTCGTCGCGGCGCAGCTCGGCCACGGCGACGCCGCTGATCTTGGCCAGCTCGGCGTCGAAGTCGCGCGCCATGGCCGGGTACCCGAGTGACAGGTAGTTGTACACCTGCGTGACGAAGGCGTCGTTGAACTCGTTCAGCAGCGCCTCCTCGCGCTCCTTGCGCTCCTTCTCGCGCCGCAGCCGCTCGTCCAGCCCCGACAGCATCTGCACGCCCTTGCGCGGCTGCTGCTGCTGGGGTGCGGCCGTCGAGAAGGCGGCCGAGAAGGGGTCACCGCTCGGCGGCGTCGCGCCGGGAGTGTGCAGCAGCGGCGGCGGCTGCAGGGCGGGCGCGGCGTCGCGCTTCTGGCCGGCGCAATAGCCGCGCCACAGCCCCCCGCCGCCCGACACGTCGCGCTGTTGCTCCTCAGGCCGGTCGCGCACATTTTCCGTGTACGGCTGACTGGGCTCGATGCGCGTGTGCTGCGGGCTGGGACACTTGCGGAAATGCAGGTCACCGCCCAGCATGGGTGGGGATGCGGCCGCCCGCATCCGTCGCATCTCGCGGTCCTCGGCCTCGCTCGGCCGGTAGTGTGCCGCGAATGGCATGTTAAACGGGTTGACGCGCGCACCGTCGGCTGATGAGGACGGTGGTGTCGGCGACATGCGCGCCTTAAGGGCCGGTGACTGCGCCCACAAGCGCGGGCTCCCGGCGTCTGCCATGTCCACGTCGCGCGAAGGCGACATGGCACCTCGACGCGAAGGGGTCATTTCGGGCTCTGCGTCCCCCTGGCCAGCCTTGTCCCCATCTCCTCGTCTGTGAGCCAGCTTCTCTGCGTGCGCGCGCATCTCCTTGACCGCCCACCCCGGGTCGGTCGACTTCCTCCGCCGCAGTGGAGAGCGGCTGCGCTGAGGTGGCTGCTCGTGCTCGTTGACCTGGGCATCGTCATCGGAGCTGCTGTCTCTGACGAAGAAATGCTCAACACCTTCGGGCCGTACGCCATTAGGGAAGGCAGACATGGCCTGCTCCAGCTCCCGCTGCCGGTAGGCGGCGCGCGCAGCCACGGCCAGGAGGTAGCCGGAGAACTCTTCATCGCACGACTCCCGTCTGTCGCGCAGGCCATAACTCCTGCTGTTCCAGGAGTCGCCCTCCGCTGGACCAGGAGCTGGACCAGGATGGGGCAAAGCCGGAGCACCCAGGTTGATATTGGGCGGTTCGGGGGCTGCAGTGTCGTCATTCTCGTCCGAAGAACCGCCAGATTCGGAAGACAGGATGGTGTCTAGGTCGGGGTGGTAGGAGCTGGTTCGCGTGCCTCGCCGCGTGTTGGGGTGCGGTTTCATCGACTGTTGCCGGCGGGGCGTGAGGAAGCGCGGCGCGCCATCGTCGTCGCTCTCGTGCGCGTGGTCGGCACTGCTGTGTCGCGGGGGCGCTGGCTTCCGCTTTGCCTTGGCCGCATAGATGTGGTTCGTGCCCGGTGTGATGTCGGTCTTGTCGGTCGGTTGGGTCGCCGGACCCTCCTGGCCCTCTCTCCTCGCCCTTCGCGTTGTCTCTATCAGCTGCGGGGCGAATTTTCTCCTCGGCTTCTTCTGCTTCTCTGTAGATGACTGCTGCTGGGCGGCAGCGGGTGTTGTAGGCGTCTGCGGGGTTGTCGGCGAGGGGTCAGGAGTCGGCTCGGCGGTTGGGCCGTGAGGATTCCGGGGATTTACCCTGTATGAGTCGAAGGTGGTCTCGACCGGTACAGGGGCAAAGCGCCGTATCGGCTTCGAGGGAGGTTGCGGCGAAGCGTCTCTCATAACGACGTCGTCAGCCTGCGCAGAGGCGTCATGGGTCGTCGCGCTCTCTGCTGCTGATGGTGCGCTTGGCGCCGACTGCTGCTCTGGCCTCTTGCCGTTGGAAGAGGATTGTTGCTGCCTCTTGTCATTGGAAGAGGACTTGGTCGTTTCTTCAACAAGCTGGGGGGCGAATCGTCGCTTCGGCTTGGGCGCGGGTGCCGCCGGAGCAGTCTGTGGTGGTGGCACATCATGCATGGGCTCGTCGTCACCGGCTGCCATGGCTGCTCGGTTGGACCCCCCTCACGACTCCGTTAAAGCAGCCTGTTCCCAAGCAGCCCAATGCCCGGCAGATGGTAGCAGGAACAGGAGAGTGAGCAGAAGAAGCTCGCGTGAGTGAAAGCCAGTAGATGCTAGTGACAGCACGGCGTGGAAAATCAAACAGACCGGCGGTGACCCAGCGTTCGAGCAAGAGACACGCAAGAGTAGGTACCTACGTCTGTCAAGGTGGACTGCCAGCAACGATGGGGTATGATGAGGCAGAAAGGTGCAAATGGAGAGCTGTCCCAGGTCTAGAAGCCAGCTGGAAAGACTGCGTTGTTTCCTGTGCTGTTGATGATGGGCTTGGACGGCCTAGTCGTCCCCTGGGCGGAGCTGGCTGGCGTGGGAGGCTTGGGGCAGCCCACGCACCGCTATTTCGTATTGAATGCTTCACGGTCTTGTCCGGAGTGGGGATCGTGGATCGCTTTCAAGGTCATGGATCAGGATGGCCAGTGGAGTCGTGTCCCGCTCGCTGCCCGCCTCGTGCCCGCCTGGCCGCCTCGAGGCCGCCTGTGTCAACGTGTCCCGGTATCCCTCCCTGTCGAGTGTCAGAGCCGCGTCCTCACGATGGTCCCCCTCGATGGTTCCCTCGCTGGTTCCCTCCACTACGGGACGTGCTGGTCCGGATGTATGCGGTGCTGGTGGTATCAGGAAAAGATTCTCTCAGTGTGGGTTGCACCGTCGAGCAGGTAGCGGTACCTTAGTAATACCTATACCCCACGACATGACACGCGAGCTAGGCAGAGCTGGATTCGCTTTGGGACAGGAGCCGTTAAGCTCGGCCTCAAGGTTATTCGATGCCCAAGAAAGTCAAGATAAGATGCAAGTATAGTACGAATGTATCGACGCCTCGCTGCTCGCTGCTCGCTGCTCGCTTCGAGATGGCCAGACCTCAACGCTTTTGCTTCGTGTTGCATTGTTGGCGGCTGGCGTCACCCCAATCGGAAGCTGTATGGTTTTTTACGTAGGTAGCTACCTGTTGTCGTGTCAGTCTGCCTGGCTCGACTCGAACAGAAGCGGCGCCAGTAGTGGGAAGGTGCCTCAAGGGCAAAATGAGACGGGACGAGGCGAAGCTTGTTGTACTTCGGTAGAGAGCCACGGCCCAACCTTAAAAACCAGCCGAAAGAACGACGAGGGTTCGGTTGATTTTCCTTCACCACAATTGTGCTCTGGCTGGTTGGCCAGAGGCTGGCTATTTTGCATGCTTGTCCAACAATTGGAGGAGTGTGCAGTGTCGGCCGTTGACATCATGCAGCATGCTGTCCACCTGCAGTGTCCGGGGTGAGAAGTGCACAGTATTTGCAATCACTATAAACTGTGCTGGCACTGTCTCAATTCCCCCATTGGTCAATACCACTTAGCGGGGGCTAATCAACGAAACAGGCCATTTCGCATACGGGGAAGTACAAGGCATTGACAAGTTGACCACACTGAACCATGGATGGTCTCGACTTTTAATAGCACGGCCGTACGATATTACCTCCAGTCTTGCTCCTCGGGCCACTTCGCTTTTTCAAGAAAAGGGGGTGAAAATAAGTCTGTGTGCCTCAGCCTGTCGAGTACCGTACAATGTACAGATTACACCAACACGACAGCGCGTCACGATACAATAGAAGCAGACCGGCAGGGCCTCGAGTAAGACCTAAACACACCATCCTGTCAGCATTCTCTGGCGAGCCTACCTAGAGGTAAAGCAGGTTGTACATCATGCAATCTTGAATCTCGGTTAGCGACATCCATGGCCTCGACAACTTCAGGCCGCGGAAGCTTCCCCAGCCTGCAGTTCTGTACCTAATAATGTGCGACGCCAGAAGTGCCGTCCCGCATCAATGCTCGATCACGACCAGTCAAATAAACTGCGCCGTCTACAAGTCAATACTTACTGGCCGGGCAGTGACCCAGGTAGCGGTACGTTTTGGCATGGTAGAAGAATGACACAAACTCCTACTCCTTATTACGTTCGTAGCATCCCATAGATCTCGACTGCCATCCCCACTCGATCTCTGGGGGAGCGGAGACACCACGGATGGTTTCGCTCCCAGAGGATCGGATGGCCCAATTATTCGTCGCAAAGAGTATACAGTATGCGATAACAAGATTTTCGACCAATCAGTCTGTGACTCTGAGTATTCAGGTCCTGCTGGCGCAATGGTTAGCGCATCCGACTTCTAAATCTCTAGGGATTCAGTAATCGGAAGGTTGTCGGTTCGAGTCCGACGTAGGATGTATTTTTTGTTTATTCCACAACCGTCGACATGGACCTTATCTATAATTTGGAACGAAGTTGACATTTTGGCGCAGCCGACGTATGATAAGGGAGCTCCTGCAGTGCATGCTAGAAGTGGGGCGCCCATGTCCAATTCCAAGTCCGAAGCGTCCTTAGCCTGGACGACCACTCCATCAAAGCACCTTCACTTCTCTTCCTTTCTTGTATGCTACAGCGAACTGATTCTTGACTCTCCAGGACCTTGCTATCCGCCCAGAGTTCCCTTTGGAACAAAATAGCTCATTTTTCTGTAGCCGAGGGCTCATCACTGTGCCGGATGTAGTAAATAAGTCACAGAATGGGATCTCATTCAATTTTCCGTTTGCTGTCAAAAAGATTCATGACTTGAGACTTTTTGGGATTAAGGTACCGTAGCCCACGTTTCTGGAGACGGCTCGACCGTTGCAATTTCACGGATGGTGTCTAGGATCTTCTCTAGGCCATGGCGAGTTACCTTCAAGATCTTGTCTAATGGACTCGCTGCTGACGACTTACAATTGATAAGTTAGATCAAGCTTTGCATTCTGTGCAGGGTATCCTGTCCTCAGAATCAGCATCAAGTGCACCAGTGATGGCATCTAGACCTGTGGAGGACAACCCGTGTAAGTTACTGCGTAAGTCAACTCATAGACTTGTCGGTGGCTGGCTTCTGAAGTACCTTGCCGCAAGGGAAGTAAGATATAACATGCCCTTGTCCGACACCTCTTGGAAGGGTTTATTTCATCACGGGTAACTTATGAAGGTCTAAGTATAGAAATCGCGTTAGGGTAGCAACCCCCAGGGAAATATTCGTCATGCAGACAGAATGGCAATTACAACCTTTGAAAACACATCGATACCCTCATGGCGGCACACGACACCACTACATAGCTTTTTCAAAATCTCTCGCTCTTTACTAAATAGCTTGCCATCCGAGGTACTGAGCCCAGCTTCGTGAGCAGTGCACGAATACTCAAATATGCTCTCCACGGCTAAGAGACTTCTGGATTACAGACCTGATCTATCAGGAGCTTCGCTTCTCTCCCCTCCTGCACCTCCAGCCACAGCCCAACAGAAAGGGTCAGAAGGTACACCGGCAAAGAGGGCTCACGGACACTGGTAAACAGATATCGGGATCAACCAGCTTGCACAGCTAGCTAAACTAGTTACCTCACTTCATAGTAGATGCTGTGGTTACTGAACAAGAGTAACCGAACAAGTAAAGGTCTACCTGGCGCTGTCCGTCTCGCTATTTAGGTCCTAAGTAATCAGTGCTCGAATATCCGGCCGTTGCAAAGACGCGCGACAACCCACAGAATGCGGCTACCTTTCGCGACTCAGCAACCACGCCCATGCCCACGGAGCAAGTCTTGCGTGCAACCATGCCGGATCGCACGCGTTCTGGGTGGCCGGCAGGGCCCGAAGAGACTGGAAAGTCAGAGAATGGGAAGGTGTTCGAGATGGTGACTTACTCGAACACGACTTTCCTAGCCAGAGAGGACCCCCCACCCCCCGGTGCCTTGTGGCCCGCCTGGCGTTGCTGCTGTTGGGGAAACCCGGCGGCTCACCCCGATCTCGCGGGGGTGCCCGGGTCTCCGAGAAATCGGCGATGTCTCGGTGCTTGATCGGCACCTGCATATGGCGTAAGTGAGTACTTCACCCGAGCCGTGAACCCCTCCCCTTTTCTTGGCGCCTTGAACCGGCAAGCAATGATAAGTCATCTTCTGCAGGACTGCGGGGAAGGGAACTTCGCTACCCGGGGCGGTGACGGTCTGAACGCTGGCATATAAGTACGGTGTATATAAGGGCGACGAGGGACGGCAACCCCCATCGTCGCTGCGGGGGTTGTGTTGCTGTTGGCAGCAAATTGCAATCCGGTGTGCACCGCTGGGCTCTCACCTGTTCGTGATGTTGTCGGCCACCGTGCTCCTCGCTGCCGGCCTCCCGGCCCTGGCGCCGGTTGCTCTGGCTCAATTTCCACCGGCACCCGAGAACGTGACGGTGCTGCAGTCCAAGTTTGGCGACGGCGTGACAATCAGCTATAAAGAGGTATTGCTCTCTCTCTCTTTCTCTCTCTCCCTCTCTCCCGCCTCCAGTCCCTGACGAGGCGCTGGCTGGACAGGCAAACCTTGAGCTCCTCGCCGCTGACTGACCCATCCCGCAGCCGGGCCTCTGCGAGACGACGCCCGGCGTCAAGTCGTACGCGGGCTACGTCCACCTGCCGCCGGGCTCGCTGGCGGACCTGGGCGAGCCGCAGGACTACCCCATCAACACCTTCTTCTGGTTCTTCGAGGCGCGCAGCGACCCGGCGAACGCGCCCCTGTCGATCTGGCTCAACGGCGGGCCGGGCAGCAGCTCGATGCTCGGGCTCCTGGCCGAGAACGGGCCCTGCTACGTGAACGCGGACCAGAACTCGACGACTCTGAACCCGTGGTCCTGGAATAACGAGGGTAAGGTCTAATAAAAGCATGAGGAGGTTCCCGAGCCGGGCTCTCTCTCCCTCTCCCTCTACCCGGCGGCTCGAGAGAACGACGCGCTGACGAGAGAGAGATGGGGGGTTGGGGAAACAGTCAACATGCTGTACATCGACCAGCCGGTCCAGACGGGCTTCTCGTACGACGTGCTGCAGAACGTGACCAGCAACCTCGTGACGGGCGACATCACGCTGCTGAACACGTCGGACCCGATCCCGGCGCAGAACGAGACGCTGCTCGTGGGCACGTACTCGAGCCAGAACGTCAGCCAGGTGACGACGGGCTCGACCTTCGCGGCCATTGCGTTCTGGCACTTCGCCCAGGCCTGGTTCCAGGAGTTCCCGGCCTACCAGCCGAACGACTCGCGCGTCAACCTCGCGACCGAGTCGTACGGCGGCCGCTACGGCCCGCGCTTCGCCGCCCTGTTCGAGACGCAGAACCGGAGGATCGCGAACGGCAGCTTCGCGGAGAAGGGCGAGGGCTACATCATCCACCTCGACACGCTGCTGCAGATCAACTCGTGCATCGACCGGCAGACCCAGTGGCCCGTATGTGACCCCTCGAGTTCATTGTCTTACCTTTCTCGGCCTGTTGTTCCCGTTCCTGCGTGGACATATCTGCATCTCAGATAGATACCTGTGGTTCGGCACCGCTAGCTTGAAAAACCCCCTGAGAATGGAAGAAACCCACTGACTCCGGAGACTCTCCAAGGCGTACCCGCACATCGCGTACAACAACACGTACGGCATCCAAGCCGTCAACGAGAGCGTCTACGAGCAGATGACGGACGCGCTGTACCGCAACGGCGGCTGCCGGGACCAGGTGGCGGCGTGCGAGTCGGCCGCGGCGCTGTACGACCCGGACGACCGGCTCGGCAACGCGACCGTCAACGACCTCTGCGCCGCCGCCGAGGACTTCTGCATCGCCGAGGTGCGGGACCCGTACGTGCAGTACTCGGGGCGCAACTACTACGACTACGGCACGCTGGACCCGGACCCCTTCCCGGCCGCCTTCTACTCCGGCTACCTCAACCGGCCGCACGTGCAGCGCGCGCTCGGCGTGCCGGTAAACTTCACCCCCTCGTCGGCCGTCGTGTCGACCGCCTTCCGCGCCGTCGGCGACTACCCGAGGCCCGGCTGGCTGGCGGACCTGGCGGGCCTGCTCGACGACTACGGCGTGAAGGTGCACCTGGCGTACGGCGACCGCGACTACGCGTGCAACTGGCTCGGCGGCGAGGCCGTCAGCCTGGCCGTCAACTACTCGGGCGCGGCGGCCTTCCGGCAAGCCGGGTACGCGGACCTCGTGGTCAACGGCACGGGGCACGTGGGCGGGCAGACGCGGCAGCGCGGCAACTTCTCCTTCTCGCGCGTCTACGAGGCCGGGCACGAGGTGCCGGCCTACCAGCCCGAGGCGGCGTACCGCGTCTTCTCGCGCGCGCTCGCGGGCCGCGACATCGCCACCGGCGCCGTCGACACGACGGCGACCGACGCGGACTACGCGACGTCGGGCCCCGCCGACACGTGGAGCATCAAGAATGACGTGCCGCCCCAGCCGGTGCACTACTGCTACCTGTGGGACATTGACGACACCTGCACGGACGATCAGACCGAGAGTATCCTCAACGGCTCGGCCGTGATCGTCAACGGGATCCTAAAGGACGAGAACTCGACGCAGCTATTCCCCGAGCTCTTCGGCGGCAGTAACTCAACTCCCACGGCTACGTCCACGGCTGGCACGGGCTCTTCTTCTGCTACTTCCTCCCCCACGCCGACTGAAAGCGGGAATGCGGCTAACCGCCGAGTTGCTGCTGAGCATTGGGGCTTAGCCTTCTGGACTGTGGTTGCGGCAGTGGCCCAGGCTGTTCTTGTCTAAGAAGAGGGCTCAGGCGGCAGGGATGAACCTCGTTGCTGCCCTTTCGGTGAAATATCGTAGCGAACTGATATTGCGACTCGGGGGACTTTTCCCGTATGTGCTCTCATCCTATGTATGCAGAAGCCTAATCTCGGCTCATTGCAGGAGGGGGTGATGCGACACTTGGCCGTACGAAACACCCGAGAGTAATACGCGTCTTTGCCGACGTGGTGATATGATTCAACATACAAGGGAGTTCAGGGAAAGTGACTGGCTATCTGTTTTCGTCGTGGAGGGCAGCGGATGTGGCACGCAGTCTTGGCACAAGGACGGCTGGCTCAGATTCCAGCGCATCGGGTGTGTTGCCGCAACATGTATCGAGCAGAGATGCCGGCAGCTTTGTGGTGTGGTTTAGTCGAAACTGGTGACACCACCCATCATCCGGTTCATCTGCGCCGCCATCGTCGTGGTATTGAATATACTGTGCTGGTTCAAGTGTGTCTTATCTCCTTAACGGCCAACTACTGGTTATCACCACTTTTCCTAAAACTTAGAGTCCATATATAATTTTAAAACATTAATGCGCAGGTACCGAATTATTTTTAATACGCGTTTTACCGCGTAAAAATCGCGTTTTTTATCGCGTTTATACTTTT